ACGCGAGGAGGGGGTGGGGAGGAGGAGGAGGAGGAATCAGCCCCTGGAAGGGAAATGAATCGGTGTTAGATTTCGGGCATGTGGTGGTGGGGTGTTTGTTGTGTGTGTGTTTATCTCTGCTTGGTGGTTCTTATCGGTGGGGTTGGAGGGGTGCCGGGGAGGAGGGGGGGTATGTATCAATGTATTGCACGTGCACACACAGGTAAAGGTATGTATACACTCATTCGTTTGTTCACTCGGTCACTAAGTCACTCACACACACATATTCACTTGGTCACTCATTCACCTCTCACTCATCTCTTCCCAATTCCCTCATGCGGCACTCTCTATCTAATCTATCTATGTTTATCTATCTGTCTGTCTACCTGTCGTCGTTTTATCTCTCTCTCCCTCTCTTTCTCACATACACACTCACAGAGGAAAATCTTGGTCTTACTTACTGCAGCCACCGACAGGCACCACACTTTTACACTTCTTTCACTTTTGGCAATTCACACTTTTACACCTTTTGCACACTTTACACTTTGACCACTACTTACACTTTTGCACTTTCACAATTTTCACACTTTTGTTTGTACTTTCACGCTTTTGCAATTTCACACTTTCACACTTTTGCACTTTCACACAACAAATGGCCGTGCTAAGATGGGTATTGAGTTACAAACAGGATTAAAACCGCCCATGAATAAATAATTTGGATAAAAAGATAGCAATATTGAATTTCTCTCATGCAGAATATTTAAGACCACATAAATAATACGTATTATTTAGGTCAGTGCACTCAAAAGGGGTTTATACGGTATAGTGGTGTAGAGAAGAGAGAAAGGAGAAAGAGAGGAGAGTGAGACAGACAGACAGACAGACAGACAGACAGAGAGCGAGAGAGAGAGAGAGAGAGAGAGAGAGAGAGAGAGGAGAGAGAGAGAGAGAGAGAGTGAGAGACAGAGAGAGGAGAGAGAGAGAGAGAGAGAGAGAGAGAGAGAGAGAAGAGGGGGAGGAAGAAAGGGAAGGAGGAAAGGGGAATTGGAAGCAGGGGCTGAAGAAACACATGCCCACAATGGGACAGACAGACTCTCCCTCGTTCTCTCCCTCCTCCTTCACCTCCACCTCCCTCTACCCCTTTTTTTTCTCTCTCTCCTATTCCTCTGTTTTATTTCCCTTTTCTCTTCTCTCTTCCTTCTCCCCTGTCCCTTTGCTCGCTTAATAAACCGCACTGACCATACCGTATTCGGAAGACGGAGTTTAACGAAAGAGCGAGAGATTAAGGTCACAAAATGAGTTTGTCGAGCGGTGTGGGCGCTGGCCTTTCTAATGGGAAATAATGGCTAGTTTGAGGAGTTATTTATTTATATATTTATTTATTATTCTTTTTTTCTTTTCTCTCTCTCTCTCCTCTCTCTCTCTCTCTCTTCTCTCCTCTCTCTCTCTCTCTCTCTCTCTCTCTCTCTCACTCTTCTCTCTTTCTCTCTCTCTCTCTCTTCCTCGTCTCTCGTCTTATCTCAGTCTGCTGGTCTCCAGTCTGTCTCTCCTCATCTTTTTTTTCACGTTTTGTCGGTTTTTTTTTAAGTGATTGAGTGACATCGACTTTGATTAACTCTATTTCGTTTCTGGGGTTATGTAAATAAGTTAATGTTTTGATTTAATTAGTTTTGGCGTGGTGTGGTGTGCTATTGTGTGTGGTGTGTGTGTGTGTGTTTGTGTGTGTGTGTGTTTGGTGTGTGTGTGTGTTTGTTGTGTGTGTGTGTGTTTGTGTGTGTGTTGTGTGTGTTTGTGTGTCGCTGCTCGCCTGTCGTCGCTCTCCGTGTCGCCCTGCTGCTCGCTGTGTGTGTGTGGGTGTGTGTCTATGTGTGTGTGTTGTGTGTTTTGTGTGTGTGTGTGTGTGTGTGGTGTGTGTTGTGTCTATGTTGTGTGTGTGTGTGTGTTGTGTGGTGTGTCATGTGGTTGTGCGTGTGTGTGTGTGTGTGTGTGTGGTGTGTGTGTGTGTGTGTGTGTGTGTGTGTGTGCCTTTGTCTGGATCTCCTCTCGCGATTACACATTGTGTGTTTGGCTCACTGAGATAGTACATGTGGATCAGAGTATCGCTCGACCATAGCGGGTTCATCAAGAAGTGGATTACAACTGCGCATGAATAGAGATGCCTGAACTTAACTCTGCACGCATATTAATTTTGACGCTCTTGTCTTAAACTCATATTTTTTCAATTGTAATACTTTTCAGACAGTTGTCACTTTCCAAAAATTTTGCTGTGACAATTATCGCTTTACTTTCATCGTGGTTTTACAGCAATGACACAGGCATGATTTTTATCGGATAACAGAGGAATAGTTAGTGCGAGAGAATCGGGAGAGAAACTATCTATTTTAAGGACTTATTTGACTTGATATTACTCTTATTAGATATGTTCAGATGTAATCAATGTATGAAATAATGGAGGTATTTTTTTGTTACGTTTTGTTTGTGTAATTATTGCTCTAGTAGTGGTTCTTAATTCTTGCTTATGTTCCTCCTCTCTGTCAATGGAAGCATTCTTGATGATAGAGAGATACAGGCTGTTCAAGTCATCTCATCGGCGTCACAGTATGATGTAGATCTTATTTTAGGAGTAGGTGGTGATGTATACGGTTAGAGGATTGACTTCCATAGAATTAGATGAACTGGATGGTTGTGATCCGCGTCTCGCGATAAGATGAGCCCGGGTGCTGATAAGGTACGATTCCAGAGTAAGTTTATCGGCAATAGTGTGAATGAGTGGGATCGAGATATCAGTGATTGCGAAGTGATGCCGTTTTAGGGCTCCGTGAACTCTAGTTAACTTGGTTAAGTCAAGATGGAAACGAAGACTCTGGACCCTCTCCACACTCCACGGCAGCGACGCGTAAGGGATATCGACGAGACGCGTTGTATGTGCCGTGAGTATTTGAACGTAATTAGCGACACCATGATGAAATCACTTGGTATAATAGGCGTAATACGCTCATATTCTGCGTCGACTAGACTGTGGTACCCAGTAATAAGAGGAGGATAGACTAAAGCCGTGGCCGTCACGATGCTGAGGCGCATCAAAACGTGACGCAGAGAAAGCTTCACGGGCTAGTCTTCTGGAAGTCTGTAATACTATCGGGTTAGCAGACATAGACAATACAAGTACGGGGTCAGAATCGGCGAGACTTATGGACGCCGAAAGCTGTAGACAGGTAGAGTTAGCTAGATGGAGAGGTGATAGAGACGGGAGATACGCTTCATACCCATATCTCGCAGGCCGTGAGTAGTGATAGAGCATAGTGAATGAGATTGCGCAGTACCGAGTGACGTTTATATCTCCGATAGCGTCGACCTAGTTATACATGCGGACTAGCTGGTTGCGTATTTCAGCAGTCCTCTCATATTGTAACATGACATCAGAGTCGCGCTTCGCTTTGATCAGGCCGGCTGAACCGAACGAGGCCTCATGGCAACGAGATTAGATGCTGAGTCAGCGAAGACGCTACGCTGGTCAGGTGCAGATGGTCTCGTCATGGCGTCTCTCTCGTGAGTATCTCTTCCATAACGGATATCATGCGATAGTACTTAGAGTGGGGCCATTTCTTCAGCCTGCTCTTACTCTCTTTTTTCTTTCTCCACTCCTCCTTACCCGGACCCCCCGACCTTACGCAAGAAAAACGAGCACCCCATGGAACACGCGATGCACGCACCGCACGCACGTAGCACGCACTTCAACAAACAAAAGAACATGGTATCGGTTTCTATTGACTGTTTTTGCTAATGTGGATGGGGTTGTTCTTGTTACTTTGTTGTTGTTGTTGTTTTTATTATTTTTGATTTTGTTGTTCTTGGTCTTGTTCTTGTTCTTCTTGTTCTTGGGGACGTGAAGGTAAATATTGTTGTTGTTAGTGCAGTATGTTAAGAATTTTCATTCGTTTTGTATGAATATAAAGATTCACTCCTTTTTTTTTAAAGTATAACTGCAGTATTTTATTATCGTGTTTCAGTTGTTTAACATTTTATTTTTTAACTTCCTGTATGAGCTTCGGATTGATAAAAATGATAAGGTTGATAAGAAAGCAGAATAAAGGAAATTAAAAAGAGAAGAAATGAATAAAATAGATAAAATTAGAAATAATAATAAAAACCAACTAAGATAAATAATGAAATAAGTAATAAAAAATATAAAAGAAATGAAATATAAATAGGCACGTATAAAGAAAAGAATAAAGAATAAAGAAAATATATTTAAAAAGAAACAACGATTATAATGAAATATTATTTGTGAAACTGCCCAATAGATTAGAAGAAATGGAATTAGTGGTTGAAGATAGATAAATGAAAATTAAAACAATAAAACAGACCCCATGAAATAAAGTTTATAATTACTGAAGGTTTATGCGAAAAAAATGATTTAATTAGTGCACAAAACCAAAATAACAAACAAAACAAAATACCAAAGAGCAGGAAGGAAAATAGTAAAGAAAAAAAAACGGATAGAGAGAGAGAGAGACAAAAGACTGCAGAAATCTGAAGACGATATTAGCACTGAGTTGGAAATATAAAATTGTGTAAGAGTGTGGAAAATTCTTTCTCTTTTTTTTCGTATAAAGTCGGGGGGACGAAAGAGAAAAGAAAATATCGCTGATTCAAATTCCGCTTGGCGACGTAGTCTTATTGGGCGCAGATCGAATCCGTGATAAAAAAAGGAAGAGAAGAGAGAGAAAGGAAGTGGGAGGGAGGGGAGAGAGGGAGAGGGAGGGAGGGAAGAGAGCAGAGAGGGAGAGTGGGAGAAGGGAGAGAGAGAGGGAGAGTGGGAGGGGGAAGAAGGAGAGGGGGGAGGGGGGAGAGAAGAGGGAGGGGGAGGGAGAGAGAGAGGAGCGAAAGTAGAGAAACAGAGATAGGAGAAGGGTACATTATTCCGGGTAAAAAAAAAGAGAAAAAAAAAAAAGTCTTTGTATTTGTACATGCATTCATGCGTGTATACTTAGATATATACATATACATAATACACACACACACAACACACACACAAACCATAGATTGACAATATATGGGTTTTTTAATCCCCCCCCGCGCCCCGTCCCCCCCGTCTCCCCATACCCAAACATACCCTCATTTATAACCCCGTGCATGAGTGCTTGCGAGCCTGCATGTGTACCTGTCATACCTGTCTCTATCCATATACCCCCGTGTCTATGTGTTTACATGTCTAAGTTCAGTCGCGTGTGCGCTGTTGTCTCATTTGTGTTCCCGCGCGTGTATGAGGTGTATGAGGCCCCGTGTTTGACAAAGTGAGGATTGGGGATTATGAGGAGAGCGAGTGGAGCCAATTGTCAAGCTCTGACTTCCTTGCTTCACGCGTGCTTGGCTCTCCGTGAAGGCTTGTGGATCTGCCAGGTGCGAGCGCTGTCACTGGCAAGCGTTTGTGTCACCGCAAGCACCATATGCGCTCTTTAAGAAAATCCATTATTGGGGATGACTGTTATTACCTGCGGCAGAAAAAAATAGTGGAAAGGAAGAAGAGGAGGAAGAAGAGGAAGAAAAATGAAGTCATGGGAAGTAGTTAGAGAATAAGATTACGAGAGAGAGAGAGAGAGACAGACTGAAAGAGAGAGAGAGAGAGAGAGAGAGAGAGAGAGGAGAGAGAGAGAGAGAGGGAGGAAGGGAGGGAGGGAGGGAGGGAGGGAGGGAGGGAGGGAGGGAGGGAGGGAGGGAGGGAGGGAGACAGACAGACAGACAGACAGACAGACAGACAGACAGAGACAGACAGACACAGAGAGAGAGACAGACAGAAGACAGACAGACAGACAGACAGACAGAAGACAGACAGAACAGAGAGAGAGCAGAGCAGACAGACAAACAGACAAGACAGAAAGAGAGACCGACAGACACAGACACAGAGAGACAAAGAGACAGCCAGACAAAGAGAGAAGAAAAGAGAAGAAAAATGAAGCAGAAAATAAATGAGACCGACCGACCGACCCGACCGAGCGAGCAAAAGAACCGGAGGACTCCAAGAAAAGACGAGAGACGAGAGATGCCAAAAGGAGGAGGAAGCAAGAGCGCCATGTCCCAGTGTAACTCTTTTCCTATGTAAATTCTTGCTTCCATATATCTCTCTCGCCCATTATCTGATATTGTTTTGTATAATTTATTGGCCAGATTTACTCATGCCGTTATTTAGGTCTTTTTTTTCCAACTTGTTATTTATTGCCTTAATATCCGGTGTATTTTTGGGCGATTTTCACTCTTCCTCCCTCCTCTCTCTCTACCCTTTACTCTTCTCCCTTACCCTTCCGCTCTCCTCCTTCTCCTTTCCTCCTCTCTCTAATCTCTCCCTCTTCGTCTCTCCTCCTTCTCTTCTCTCTCTCTCTCTCTCTCTCTCTCTCTCTCTCTCTCTCTCTCTCTCCTTTCTCTCTCCTTTCTCTCCTCTTCCTCTTTCTCTCTTTTCTCTCTTTCTCTCCCTCTCTTCTCTCTTTCTCTCTTTCTCTTCCTCTCTCTCTTCTCTCTCTCTCTCTCTCTCTCTCCTCTCTCTCTCTCTCTCTCCTCTCTTCCTCTCTCTCCTTCTCTCTCTCTCTCTCCTCTCTCTCTCTCTCCTTCTCTTTCCTCTCCCCTCTATTTCTCTCTTCTCTCCTCTTTCCTCTCTCCCTCTCTCTCTCTCTCTCTCTCTCTCTTCATCTCTTCTCCCTCTCTCTCTCCCTCCTCTCTCTCTCTCTCTCTCTCTCTCTCTCTCTCTCTCTCTCTCTCTCTCTCTCTCTCTCTCATCTCTCTCTCTCTCTCCTCTCTCTCTCTCTCTCCTCTCTTCTCTCTCTCTCTCTCTCTCTTCTCTCTCTCTCTCTCTCTCTCTCTCCTCTCTCCTCTCTCCTCTCTCTCCCTCTCTCTCCTCTCTCTCTCTCCCTCTCTCCCGGCCTCTCCCCCTCTCCCGCTCTCTTCTCCTCTCTCTCTCAACCTCCCTCTCTCTCCTCTGTCTCTATCCCTCTCCCTCTCTCCCTTCGTCCCTCTTTCTCCTCTCTCCCTCTCCCTCTCCTCCACCAACGAATATGTTTATTTGTTTGCCACGAGTGTGATTCATAGCAGGAGAAAGTGGGTTGGCGCCAAATAGGGGGGGGGAGGGGTGAGAGGAATGGGGATGATGACGGGTAAGGGGTTGGGAATGGAGGGGGGGGGAGACAGCTGGAATCGTTCCATGCTTGAGACAGAGAATCTTCGCAAGGGTAATGTGTAATCTATTTGTCCTCTCGCCGCGGGTTGTTGTCACCTCCTTCCAGCATCTTTCCTCTTTCCTCTTCTTGCCAACCTCCTCT